AAAAAAAAAAAAAGAAAAATCAATTCTTGTGTCTTCTATGCCATTTCTCCAGTATCCAGTACTATTATCCCAGTGTCAATTTCCTTCAACTAATCAACTTAAAAAAAAAGTAGAAAAAAGAGACTTTGCCAGTGATTCGATGCAAGCCACTCCAACACTGCTCTCCTCATTGAAAACTTGAAGACAAATTAAGGGACTATCGAAGGGACCACCAAAGGAATCACTAATTTCTTAGTAAATACTAAAAACAACACTATCTTTTTTTATATGAATCATATATTGTCATATTGTGTTTCAACTTTAAAGTTTTGTAAGTTTATTTTATTTTGTTTTAAAATTTTATTTTATACTTGTTAGTAGATATATTCTAACAAAAAAATTAGTATAGTCTCTCTATCCCAGAATAATTGATATTTTTTTATTTAGAATTTATCTCAAAATAATAGTCATTTTTTTATTTTGAGGAAGATAAATAATTTTTTTCTACTTTAACCCTATAATTATCTTTTAACTTTAATTATTTATTTTCTGATGGAAGTAGATATTTATTCTTAATTATTTTTTAAGTATAAAATAGGTAAAGATAAAAATTATTTTCAAATCTTTCATTTGAAGATAAAACAAAAAAATCTATTATTCTAGTATGGAGGAAGTAATATTTAAGTAATGAAACTTATTGACTTTTTATTATTACAAAAAATTGTATAATTTCCTTTTAGGATTTAGAATTGTTGAGATTATAAATAAAATTGAATATTATGGTAATATTGAAGTTATATTGAAGTTATATAGAATAGAATTTGATCGGAATAAAAAAATTGAAAAAAAAGAGAAGAGAAAGTACAAATCCATAAATGGAACATATATGAATCCAATAAAAAAAAACTTTGGACATAGTTGTATAGAGAAAAGCAATAGGAACATAAATTAGTATAAAAGGAAGATAAAGTCGTATAAAGTGTAATTAGCTTGTAAAAAGGAGAAAAAAATTTGTTTGCTTGTAGAAAGTGGTAGGGTGAAGAGATAGGATATTGTCATATTTTTGAACTATGTCATTGGCTTGTGAAGATAATAAAATCAAAGATCTATAGTCTCATTTATAAGTTAATTACTTTGATGTTTACTCTTTCAATTTCTATAGAAATAACAAAAAAAGTATTTTCTACCATGAAAATTATAAAAACGAGACTTTGCAACAAAATGAAGGTTGAATTTCTCTCAAACTTTTTGATTGTTTGTATTGAAAAAGAACTAGTTCAGTTATTTATTGTAAGCATTATTATAAATAAATTTTGTGATATGAAAATTTGTTAAATATTATTTTAATATATGATATGAAAATAAGTTTTCAAAATTACAATACATTATTTTAAGTCTTGAAAAGTCGACTTCTCCTCATTAAAATTCCTGGCTCCGCACCTGCTTAGAAATGCATTATATATTTTAAAATATATCTCCATTTTCCAGTCGTGGATTGTTCGTCAAAGAAGATTTTGACCCAAAAAATTTTGGGAATATTTATGGAAAAAATTTCTTAGAAATGCTATGTATATTTTTTAAAATGCCCTTCGCTGATTGAAATTTTTTAGTCTTGGAAAATTTGTATTTTTTTATTTGAAATTTTCTTGGGTCAATATTTTTTGATTTCCCTGTTTTGCAGTCCGGACTGCAAAACAAGGGCCATTGGATGGGGGAACAGCCCCCAATATTAGGTTGCCCCGCCCCCATTTAATGGTAAGTGTTGTGCAGTCCAGTCAGAACACTTTTTTGATATTTTTTATATGTAGTTTAAACTACTAAAATGTAATAATTTTGATGGTAGGGAGGATGGCCCCCAAGGAGCTCGCCATATTTCAACTCAAGCCGGTAAGTATAGTAATTCTGGTGTCATGCTGGATATGAGTTTTGTTTCTTTGAAGAATGTTCTCATGATGGATTGTAAAATATGTTAAATGTAGTTCGAAACAGGATGAAGAGTGTCAAGAATATTCAGAAAATCACTAAGGCAATGAAGATGGTTGCAGCCTCAAAGTTGAGGGCTATTCAAACCAGAGCTGAAAATTCTCGTGGCCTCTGGCAGCCATTTACTGCACTTCTTGGAGACACTCCTAGTATGTTTTAACAGACATTCCATGATTGTTCCTCGTAATCAGGTTCAGATGTTTTGTTTGCACAATATTGTTTCTTGCTTAAGTTTCTGCATGTGACTATTTTCTTTGCCCCTTTCGATTGAATACATCTTGTTTTAATGCTTCTTGTATGGCATTGATTTTATTAATCTCAGCCATATAGCTTGCTTCCCTTTTTCCCCCAATCACGTGTATCCCTTCTCAAGATATTCTGAGAGAGTGACAAGTTTACTCCAAAATCACTTAACCGTGACTTAATGCTTGGCAGTATGATTTTGAGGACACTGGTGAAATTTCTTTGTTGGTCAATTAGTCATTCATACAGTCAAGCACTTTCAGAAACAGAATCTTTGGATTATAATGTGGGGAAGAAAAAATTAGTTCCATAAATATTAATGAAGACTGCAATTTTACGGATAGCATCTGATATATTCAACCTAAGCTTGTGGGAGTAGTTTTAGATTCACATGTGGAGTTGATTGACCTTGGTTTTTGGGTAAAATTATGTGCATTTTAGTTTTGCTTAGTTTTGGTAATTTCAGTTTCTTTTGTCATTTTACTCTTTTGTTTTCTTCAATGATTATTTTGATCTTTATAGAACATCAAGTATGTCAACTTCATTCGTTGATTTGTTCTATTTTAACACTAGGTGTTGATGTGAAGAAGAACGTTATTGTGACGATCTCTTCAGACAAGGTCTTTGTGGTGGAATTAACTCCACATCAGTCAAGACAAGCAAGGCTTTGCACAAAGTGACTTCTGGTATATCTTGCGAGCAATTTTTTTCTTTTATTCCTTTTTTGTTTGTATCTTATAATTCCTAGAGTTTGGTTGCATCTTATGCATAAAATATTTTCTGTTGGCACAGGTCCTGACAAAGAAACCACATATGTTATTTTGGGAGAAAAAGCAAAAGTTCAGTAGGTGCGTGACTCAAAGAAGAACATTGAGTTAAGCATAACTGAATTGCAAAAGAATCCTCTGAATTATACCCAGGTTAGTATTCATATTATATCTTCTATGGATCTGTGAAGAGAACCTTCATTGGTACAAACTAGTGAAGTTCAGTTCTCTGATCATTGAGTTTATTTTGGCTTCATGTGTTATTTTCAATTTAACGTGCAATATGGTTGATGATACCCTGTAGTTGTTACGTTTTGACCTTGAACTCAACTTTTTCTTTTATTTTATTCTTATTTTATGAAACATTGAACTTAATTTTAGTTATTGATTGTTTGGGGACAAAGGAAGGAAATTTCATGTCCTATTGTCTTATTCTTTTCCTCTTCATTTGCTTTTCTTGTGTTGTTATGGAACAGAAATAAAGGATACACTATACTCTGTTATTGTTAATTCAGTCAGTGTGATTTTATTTTATGTCTTTCTTCTCCCCACATATTGTTGAAATTGTTGCTTTCATAGGTCTCTGTTCTTGCTGATGATATTTTGAAGAATGTGGAGTATGATGCTTTGAGGATTGTATTCAACAAGTTCCATTCTGTAGTTTCATTTCTGCCAACAATGGCAACTGTTTTATCACCAGAGGTGAGGCGTCCATGATGCTTTAGTTTCATAATTCTGGACTTTGTTCTATTTGATTCTTGTTCTGCTTCTGGTTTCATGATTTGGTAGTAATATGTTGATATAGGTTGTTGAGAAGGAGTCTGAATCTGGTGGAAAGATTGGCGATCTGGACTCTCATGAAATTGAAGGTGGAGAAACCAAGGGTGAAATACTTCAAAATCTGGCTGGGTTTCAGGTTTCTTGTGTAAGTCAAATTCTCATGTTTTGAATAGTAACTGGGTTTGAGTCTGCTGTTGTGTGAAACAACTGTGGTGTTTGTTAACCATGATTCTATCTCCCAAAATCATGTGAGCTATGTTTAGATTGAAGTCACTTTCTGATAGGAATTTGAGCATATATTTTTTGTCCTAGTCTGAGAATGCATTAACGGTTTGATCTTCCTTGACAAAAATCCATCATAAGTATGACCTTAACAATTTTTTATTAATGTTTCTTTCTCTATCTACTAAATTTCTGTGCTTGCCATTGTAAGATTTTCGAATTTTCCCCAGGTTTTGTTCAATGCGGTGTTGGAGAATG